TTGTAAAGAGCATTCATGTCCTTGTAGAGCTCATAATTACAACTTGTATGCTGGGAATTTTCGGAGAGCTTCTGCTTGTACCACATGACCCGCTGTACCACCTGACCTCTACAGATTAATTTAGGCATTGATTGTGTTAGAAACGCATTATTCCCTGTACGAGGACGTGAACAGCTTCAAGTAGAACGTCATGAGTAGTCATCCGCGAAATTCCTGTAATTGCAACATGGCATGAACGCAGCTATACTTCGTTTCGTCTTTAACGAACCGCTCTGTCGCTTAGTTACGCGCATCCTGTCACAGTTTAAACTGCCCTGTCAATCACCTTGTCACAGGTAAAATCCTCCACATTCAATTTAATATCCTTCCGATCCTATTGATAAATATAATGTGGATAACATTGAAAAAATATTTTTCTCGTCATGTTAGATACTGATTATTAATCACTCAAGCCCCTTAACCGTAGGTCTTGCACATCTGCCATGTTTGTAGTTTTCTATGGAGGACCAAATTACTCAAAATGAAAACTCAATAAATAATGAATTTAATAAAACAGCGCTTGCCCGCTCTTTCAGCGGCGATGGTTCCGTAAGTATTTTTACCATTTATTTCTCAAATAGGGATTTCAAAAAAGTCTTTGTAAAGTGTTATAAGCCATGAACCAAGTCAACCAGCTACGAGGTGAATCATAACATTACAAACTTTGATTTTAAGCAAAAACGTAATTGAAAATCGGGCAAAAATGCAAAGGTGCAAGACTGTGTACTTAACGGCTTTAGTAAGGGAAAGAACCACAGTCCCATGATGCATTGTGGACAGAATAATCGAATTAAAAAAGATAGAGAAATATAAAACTATGCATTAAAAAATGTTTATAGAAAAATATGCATATATATCAAAATATTTAAATATTTTGAGTGTAGGGAAATCTAAAGAGATCTTTTGGCATTTTTTACTTTTTTTTCATTTTTATTCTCTGATTGGTGGAATTTTCTGTAGCGCTTTATTTTACAGTCCTGTTCCACATACCATGTTCTTATTATAGCAATTACAATAACTGGGTTACAACTAGGTACTAACCCTGAACCTACCCCTAAACCTAACCTTAACCCAGTTACATTATATTACCAGTACTTTCTTGGGTAACTACATTCTAAGCAAACTGTAAGTTCACGTAAAACAGTGTAACCGAATTTTCTGTACAGCATTATGGGTAATGTAGTTTTCACCACAAATTCCGCTGTTAAACACGATTATTTTAAAACTAAGTTAAAATAATGGGGGCTGACGGCTTCAACAAAAGCAAATGCTATCGATTAACAACCTCTTAGCTCACAGTAAGGCTGTCTTTAAAGGCTTATAAGTTATCGTTTAAAATCAATTTCCCTATGGGGAAAATGAATGGAGTTTTTACTTCTGGAACCAGACTGTTGCACTCTATGGGTTGTTGGCAATATTAGCCGTTGGGACAAACTAATTCTAATTTTGAATAATATTTAGGACGGATAGTATCCGAATTGGGACGCAGCAATAGTCTGAAGCTAAATCTAGTCAGTATCCATTCATTATACACAGATTTTTCTGTGAAATATGTCAGCTCAAATCTGCAGACTGGCTCTGGATTTTGGCTACTAGCGTTGACTCGTCCAGACAGTAAACCGAGGCTAAAAAGCGAAATTTGTGTATTGTATTCCAGCCTTTAGTTACTGCCAGTAGATAAATGTTTGTGCGAGAGACTACATTATTGTAGCGTGGTGCCAAAAACACTAAGGACATGAGGAGTCGTAACTAATTTGTCATTAAGAGGTGGCTCTCCTACAAATGGCTGATGGTTTCTATGGAAACTTCCACTTGGCTAATAGCAGCCCTTTTACACTGGATTCTCATCTTCTGTCAAAACTGTGAAAACACATGATGTTCACGTGAAATTAACTGATTAGTCATAATTAGCAATGCATATATGGAGGTTTGATGTCCTAGATGAATTCACATTTTTAGCTGGTTTTAGGAGTGTAATATAGGAAGAACCAAAGCATGTTCAGACCTCACACAAACAGAATACGTTATGCCACATAACGACCAGTCACAAAATCTAGTAAAATTGAATTGGTTTGTTAAAAGAAATAGTTTGAATGACTTTAAAACTTTAAAATAAACTAAAAAAAAAAGCGCTTTAAGAGTCTTAAAGGGATAGTTCACCCAAAAATGAAAATTCTGTCATTATTTACTCACCTTCTAGTTGTTCTAAACTTGTATGACTTTTTTTCTTCGATATTTTAAAAGATGTCTCAGGCTGCGTCTGGAATCGCGTCCTGTCTGAGTAGGTACTATGTTTGAATTTGAATTTACTTTGCGACTGCTAAAAAAATGTACTCTATAATAGTATGAATATGGGTGGTATGAATGAAATTCTGACGTACTACATCATCCATGTTGTTACTGTCATGTGACCTACCAGCGTTAGTTGCGTCGCTTCACTTCCATTCACAAACCCTCTGGCCTCATGGGATAGTAAAGTATTATACACTGTACTTAATTTAAGACAGCAACTTTTTGTACAATCAACTTGGATGCTTAAGTCATTTCAACTTAAATTACATTAAACTGACTTAAAAATGAGTTGAATTGCTTAACTTATTTTGATGAGTTAAACCAATGTAAAAAACATATGTTGTCATAACTTATTGATCATACAATTTCTTATAATATGCATACTTCAGTATATCACTTCAGACTTTTCCCCTACTGTTTTTCGAATACTATGAATTTGGACATACTACTTTTTTGGTGTACTGTTTTTCGCATACTATATAGTAGGGAAGTATTCGATATCAAACGCAGCGTCAGTGTTTTTTTTAGACAGTGAAAGTCAATATGGTCCAATATATTAATGCAATTGACTCTCATTGTGTGTACAAAAACAATACACCCTTTTTATCGACTGGTGTTTCAAATACAATGGCTGAGGAAGTGATGGTAAATTTGACATCTTTCTCTCTATTGACTAAAATTCTTTTGTTATTGGAGCAAATGGGAATGCAAAAATCATATTTGCCTCGCCACTATTGAAATTTACCCAACTATGGCAAAGTTTACTTCTGAGAACCTCTGAAATGTCAAAAGGGTCATTTAAATAAGGGCATCTTTTTTGTGTTCATAAGTCAGTCATACAGATTTGGAATGACATGAAGGTGAATAATAATCTTTTGGGGTGAGCTGTCCCATTAAGGACTATCACCAGTAACTCAGAGGTATACTTTGAAAATGTGACAGTGTGTTGCATTTTAGTAATAAAGAAATGCTGACAGAAAGCGCCTTTATCTTTAATCTCAGATCAGGTGGACTTTACAGGGTTTTTTTTTTTGGTCTGCTGTTAGTTTTGAAAAACCAACACGTTTGCAAACAGTATGTTGCCTTTTTATTGAGGGTGTTTTTTGTGTGTGAAACACTGAGATAATTGTGAGATTTTTACAAAGGTGTTGCACCTGAATGTGTTAGAAGTAAATGATGCATGTGACGCGGGGGGCAATTGCTGTGGTGATTGTATTGATTTCCATGTCAATGCACTCTAGGAAGCTGTTGAAAGACAACCACTTTTGCAATCTATTTTCTTAGTACTTTTCCCTCAAAAATAAATAAGTAAATAGAAGTGCTTTTTATCTCCAAATGTCCTTATACTAGATGTTAAGCTACCCTGTGTTAACTGTGACTTTGTATACATGCAGACAACTAACACAATCACAAACCACATAACACCTCAGTGTGCATAATGTGATGCATGAGAAGTTTTATTTTTTAGATTATTCTTAGGTCTTATTCCTAATTATTCTCAAATGTTTTATTATAGATATTGAAGTTTGTAGGTGAATAGTGTTTTAATGTGAAAAGATTAATTTGTGTGTACTTTTTTTTTTTCGTTTTAGTCAGGGACTGCTGAGAGGATCCTTATGCAAAGAGATGAGACTAAAGTGTATTAGCACAATCTTAAATTTAAGGATCTTCTTATTCTTTAGTAGGATTATAACTGGATAGAAGGGTAGAAAAAGTTATACATTAGCCAGGAAAATAAGTGCTGTATTCTTGAATTAATATTCATTTCACACTAAACTAACCCTTATATTATGTAGCTGTAATATTTAATCTCAGTTTTATTGGTGTTTTTTTATTATTATTTTTGTTGGATTATGTTGAGGTTATCACTGCCAATCTTCTGCATTTGTCTTTGCAGTGGCTCATTTCTAACTAGCCAGATTAGAAATGTACCATCATATGAAGTGAATTTTAACGTACATGTACTACCTGTATTTTTTTCTTTTTCCCAAATATGGACGTTGCTGCATAATAGCAAACTTTAAATAAATTGTTTTTGTCTATAATCCTGATATGAAGGACCATACTTACATGAATTTTGGAAATACAGAATGATTTTTGAGCAGATGTTTTATTTGTCATAAACATACTGCACAGCACAGGGAACACTGTAATGAAACTCACCTGCCCCCCTAAACAAAATAGTGTCACAACGTTAAGTTTGTCTGATAATGAAACACTTTCAGTGGTGTGCAGGTATAGAAAATCATAACCCTGGTTCTTATACATAAAACCAATACTATATATCCACGCAATCATCCAAATAATCTATTACACCACCCTTGATTGATCACTGAAGTCAAAGCGATTAATATCATATTGTATATAAATGCACTATTGTGCATTATTCACATCGTATCACTGTATGCGTTCCACTAATCTGTTCTACTGTATGTTAGTTTGATGGTACTTTAAGAAAACAGTCAGTTGTGCAACGTCAATTGTTTGACTAGTGTTTGTTGGGCCTAGACATGGAACAATGTTGCTAACAGCTAACCTTGTATGATGTGTGAAGAAATTGATTTTGATAGATTCCAGCATGCAAACTACCAGCCTAAAAAATGTACTGAATTTGTCCCGTATCATCGAAAGGTTTATGCTTAAGTGTTAGTTTTGTAGACAAATATACATTGTACCTGTTCATGTGATTTTTTTTTTTCTTTTTCTTTTTTTTTACAAACTACATTTGTAATTAAAATTGTATTTGTTTTGAACTTTTCTTTCTTTTTTTTTGGACATTGGGGAAGAGTAATTGTGTGATGCCCAATGACAACAAACACATTTTTGAAACCATGATCATGGCGAAATGCTTTTTACAGCTTAATACTGTAAAGTAATGGACTTGCTCACTGGTAGTCTCCCCATTATGCACTGCAGAAGGTTTATAAGTGTCTATCAGCATGCCGTAGCTGTCACTCGTACTGGACAGTAAGTGAAAAGTTCACAGTAAGAAGGTCACTCCCTGGCTAATAAGGAAAGGGTTTGCTGCAGGTTGTCAAGGCCCCATAAGTATCCGTCTTCTCGGTTGCCTTCCTCCCAGGGTCTGTAGTGATCCAGCTTCTGTCCTTCTGAGAGAAGGATGGTTTTACCAAAATCAATGAGCCAGACCTCAGCTCTCTCTTTGTGATCATGAATGAAGAGAAGCGAACTGCCAATGACCTGAAAGACATCCAACATTGACTATGTTTGCATGTGCACCAATAATTTGATTTTTTTCTTTTTACAATAATCAAAATAAGGACTTGATCATAGTAAGATGTTTACATGACAAGCAAAACTCTTCACTCCAGTTTACAAGCAATTGTCACACGTCCGAGCACACAATAATGCATGTAATAATGCAATTAAGGTGTTTGCATGCCTGTTTATAGTAATTAAAATTGTAAAAGTGTAATGCAAGTATGGCTACTAACTATGATTATGAGCTTAATTGCATTAGTTTGATTGAAGTATTGCATTTACACGAAGTAAAGTTTAATCACAATATTGCCAAAATCTCATTCTAATCGCATTGAGGATGCATGTAAATGGTTGAGTAATTGTTGAGGAGGGCCAAATCATGTAAAAAAAACAAACAAGATTTATACTACCGTTTAAAAGTTTACGGTAGTGAGCAGGTAAGATTTTTGTCACATTTTTGAAAAAAGTCTCTTATACTGATGAAAATAAAGCTGGATTTATTTAAAATATATTTTTGTGGAAACCATCTTACTAACCCCAAACTTTTGTTGTGTATACAATATTTCAGTACAGTATAGTGCAACGTTAAATAAAAATATGGCGCATAATAAAAAAAATATATATATATATTCTTGGACATTTATAGTTAGATATTAATTTGAAAATTATTAACTCCAAAAAGCTCATGTTAATTAATTAGATATTAGTTGGAAGTGTACATATAGTGCTTAAATAATAACTTTTAAACATAATTTAAACATTTGTTTTTAACATTAATCAGTAAATATTTACATCACACAACTTCAAAAAATAAGATAAAACTCAACATTACAGAGCAAAAAAAAATTTGTATTTTACCTCATGTTTCTTGAAGAACTCTGAGGCTTTCAGTGCCTGTTTAATATCTTCCATCCTTGTAATATAGGAGTTCTATTAGGTAAGTGAAGGAGAAGAGCACATCAATAATCAATAATTCAACTGGAATTATCCTAGAAGTGATTTTTTTTCTTCAGTATTCACTGGAGAGAGGCTCCAATTACACAAGGACACCTTGTAAGTGCAGTTAATTTGTTTTCTGTTGAGACATTATCTTCCTGTGCTTGCCTATTATAAAATATTATTTAAACAATTGTTTTAAACCTTCCAGCTATATCTGCTAGTTCTAACTCAGTTCTAGTTCTAAAAAGATTAAGTAAAAACATACAGGCAAAACAAAATGAATACCCGTGGGTCCTGATTATACGCATTCATAACAGTCTGAAGCGCAAGCTTCCTGTCACGTAATGACGAATATGAATCACCAAGGACCACGATTTCAGCTAAAAATCTTCTTTACTGTAAAAGTCACCTACATCTTGGATGGCCTGAGGGTGAGCAAATCTTTGGGCGAACTATCCCTTTAATGCACCTTACCCTTCATTTGAAGAGACATGTAGACCCCAAACTGAACAGATGAGCTTTTATGATTCTGTTTGAACTGCCTTGTTGAAGATCACTGAGAGTAAACAATATCTGGCCTTTTTACATCAGACATGTATATCCTGGATACAAAGTATTCAAGGTGTAGTGTTGTTCCACTGAAATGTAGGCGTGTGTGCATTATGTCAGAACAGGTTGATCTAGTTCTCAAGAACTCACGCACAATTATGTTTTTATTGCCCTCGACGAAATCCTTAAAGACCTGAATGACGTCTTCCTTTGACCGGGTCTTTTTAAAGTCTGTGTTGCAGGTTTCTCCTCTCTGAAATAAGAAAACAATGTATTGTATTGAATGTAAAAACAAAAAAGTCAGATGAAGAGTTTTTACAAATCAGCAGATTGAGGGCAATATCTGAAATCTGATGGATTTCAGTGAGGTCGGCGCTTAAAGACATTTTCCGTTCAGGTTTAAAAGAGCCCGCATGTTCCAAATTACCAGGTGGAAAGATTTATTTTTCTCTGATCCAATTCATTGCTCATGCTTTGTTACTAAGCAGATCCTCGTTTACTGTGGGGATTGTGGATGAGACATCTCCTTAGTACCGAAGTATCCATCATGCCAAAGCCATGTTATGTTATGTCTTCCACGGCAGAATCATATCATATCATAACCACCAAACCAGAGTCTTATGTCAAGACTGTCATGTTAGTCAAGTCATGTCATGAATGCCAATTCAGAGCCTCTTCATGAAATGGCCACCACGGCAGAGTCAAGTCACGTCATGGTTGCCAAGCCAGAGGATACGGAGCTTGGTCCAACATTGAATTCATTAACCATGATGACTTGGTAGTTCCAAGTCTAGTGGTCCCAAGTCCGCTGGTTCCAAGTCCGGGTGTCCCAGAGATCATGCCACTGTCAACACTACTTGTAGTGATAGCCACTGCTATTCTGTATGTGGGCCACATACACCTCTTCAGAAGGGGCGGCTACAGCTCCTCCCGAGGCGGCAGCGTTCGCTATAGATCCTCTCGAGGTGGCAGCGTCCACTACAACACCTATAGAGAATGCAGCAGCTGTCATAGACGATACTGAATCTTCTGAGAACCTTGTCACAGTCAAGGAGATCATCCATAAAAGGTTTATGGATCGAGTCACAACCACTGACCAAGTCCATCAACTTTTCTTGCCCCAGGTTTCAACCAGAGAGAGCATTCAGGAACCATGTCTGTCTCAAATCACGGTCACAGAGACTATTCATGAACCATATTTGCTTTAAACAAGTCAACGAGGCTATTGATGAACTGTCCATGATTCATATCATGCCAACTGTGTCACATCCAAGGAGTCAGTACATGCCGGCCATGTCCTAGTCATGAATGATGTTCATGTTTCTGATCCACCATGGCCTCCTGTTTCTACTCCACAATCCAGGCCTGCCCATGCTCTACAGTCATGGTATTTCATTGTTGCAGGACTTAAAGACCCAGTCCGATGAAAATAATGTTTTTCTAGGTGTTAACATGTTCTTGTGGCATTTTTCTGATGTTAGAGGACATATCTTGAGAAAAATCAGCTCAAAGTTGTATTTCTGAGTATTTCTACATTCAAATGGCTGTGAATCAGTAGCAGACGCTAAAATGCCGGCTAAAATCGACTGGAGTTGTGACGTAGTAACTCCACTGGGCGTCTCCACACGCGACGTCTTGGAGTGAAATAATGATCGATGATAACTTTGATTAACTTCGGATAATAATAATTAACGTGTATATAATACTGTTGCCCCACCGGTATTGGGGATGTAAGCTAGCGGGAGAGACAGCTCTCAGCAACGGGTAGGGGGAGGGTCGTCTCCGTGCCAACGGCTCCGCCCACAACGCAGAGGCGAATTGCTAATGAGCTACTGCCGCTCTGCTGAAGCGAAGTCCCAGGAAACGGCACAGGTTTTGTGATTTTGGCTAAAAATGGCATATCATAATTTAAAGACCACTGGGAATGTTTAAAAATAGCTCAAAATATGATCGGAGTGGGACTTTAAGCCATAAATCAAGCCATGAATTATGCCTTGTAACAGACCACTTCATGGTCCAGGCACGCCTTCCCTCCCCCTTGTACGCCTCTGCTCCACCATCCTCTGGGACTTAAAAAAAATGTTCTTGTGGTGTTTGGTTTGGGTGTCTAGAGACACCCATAAATGGGGGGATATGTAAGGCTGGTGTTTGGTTGGGCTCTTGTTTTCATGTTTTTTTGCTTTGTATTTCATGTCATTATGTTTTCCATGTCATGTAATTTTCCCATATACCCCATGTGATCATGCCATGTGCTTTTGTTTTCTATTGTGTCAAGTTCCCACTGGTCCATTGTTCCATTGCATTCAGGTGCTTCTTCAGGTGTTATGCTGTAACCTGCTGTCCTGAGTTTCACATCCATGCCACACCATACCAAGTGAAGTTCATGTTTAAGTTATGTTCATTTTTTTAAGTCATCGTTTTATTTTTGTACACTTTTGGAAAAAACTGCAATTGGGTTCAGAACTCCGACTTCAGTGGATCCGTAACAAATATAATTATTAATTTATTTTCTTCAAATGAATTTATTTAATATAACAATCTAGTTTCAATGTCCTGGTTTTCTACTGAACTCAAATTTGCTGTGATTTTTAGGCACTGTGGCTACCTTGATACCCTCAATGCGGAAGCCCAGAGTGTTAGTAGAGCTGAGACTTTCTCTCCACTGCATGTAGCGTGGTTTGGTTACTGCCAGCTGCTTCTTCTCCTCCGCTGTTGGAGCCTCACTGTCCAGCTCCATCATCTTATTATACAGGTCCTCACGCAGCTTTGGCTTCACCCTTGCCCGCACCAACTCCTCCTCTAGATATGTCCTGAAAGAAAGAAAGTTAGAATTGGATATTTAACTACCTGAAAATGTACTGCAAATTCTGGAACCTGATGGAAATGTCTATTAATCATGGCTGAAATGTTGATTCAATCATGTGCATTTTTTATTTCATTTGTTTTTATTTTTATTTTGTGCATGTGCATTTTGTTTTTATTGCAAGCTTGAACTTTACTTGACTTCCTGTGTGAGAAGAGGAAGTCACTAAGGGACTCCTTGCACAAAATGTCTCTCAGTGTGTAAAAAGAATACGTGAAATGCATGTGAGAAGGAAGCCCTCAGGGACGCCCTGTCTGCCTTGCTAAGCATGCATGTAAGTTTTGACTGCATGTGCACAGGAAGTGGTTATTATTGTGCGTGGTGAGAGGGCCTCTCTCTTCATGAGCCCCACCCATTGCCCTGACAGGATGCAGGCCAACAACCAGAACAGGTGTTTTAGCAGGCAGAGTAAACTCATTATGCACAATATGTTAGCATGACTATGAAAAGGAGAGAATTAAACATTAGCTAAATAAGTAATACTTGCTGTGTTATATTTGTAATATTGTGTGTTATTTAATATTAAATTATAACATATAACATTATATAGCAATATAATTATTAGTATAAATTTAAATAATTGCCCTACTCTTTCAAATTGTTCTATTTCAAATGAATGCTGTTCTTTTTAACTTTCTGTTTATCAAAAAATCACGATTCCCATAAAAAAAATTAGACAACACTGATAATATTAAATGTTTAATGAGCACCAGATCAGCATGATAGAATGATTTCTGAAGGATTATGTGACAATGAAGACTGGAGTAATGGCTGCTGAAAATTCAGCTTTGCCATCACAGGAATAATAATTTAAAAAAAATATATATATATATATATGTGTATATATATATACACTCACCGGCCACTTTATTAGGTACACCTGTCCAACTGCTCGTTAACACTTAATTTCTAAGCAGCCAATCACATGGCGGCAACTCAGTGCATTTAGGCATGTAGACATGGTCAAGACAATCTCCTGCAGTTCAAACCGAGCATCAGTATGGGGAAGAAAGTTGATTTGAGTGACTTTGAACGTGGCATGATTGTTGGTGCCAGAAGGGCTGGTCTGAGTATTTCAGAAACTGCTAATCTACTGGGATTTTCACGCACAACCATCTCTAGGGTTTACAGAGAATGGTCCGAAAAAGAAAAAACATCCAGTGAGCGGCAGTTCTGTGGGCGGAAATGCCTTGTTGATGCCAGAGGTCAGAGGAGAATGGCCAGACTGGTTCAAGCTGATAGAAGGGCAACAGTGACTGAAATAACCACTCGTTACAACCGAGGTATGCAGCAAAGCATTTGTGAAGCCACAACACGCACAACCTTGAGGCGGATGGGCTACAACAGCAGAAGACTCCACCGGGTACCACTCATCTCCACTACAAATAGGAAAAAGAGGCTACAATTTGCAAGAGCTCACCAAAATTGAACAGTTGAAGACTGGAAAAATGTTGCCTGGTCTGATGAGTCTCGATTTCTGTTGAGACATTCAGATGTTAGAGTCAGAATTTGGCGTAAACAGAATGAGAACATGGAACCATCATGCCTTGTTACCACTGTGCAGGCTGGTGGTGGTGGTGTAATGGTGTGGGGGATGTTTTCCTGCCACACTTTAGGCCCCTTAGTGCCAATTGGGCATCGTTTAAATGCCACAGCCTACCTGAGCATTGTTTCTGACCATGTCCATCCCTTTATGGCCACCATGTACCCATCCTCTGATGGCTACTTCCACCATGTCACAAAGCTCTAATCATTTCAAATTGGTTTCTTGAACATGACAATGAGTTCACTGTACTAAAATGGCCTCCACAGTCACCAGATCTCAACCCAATAGAGCATCTTTGGGATGTGGTGGAACGGGAGATTCGCATCATGGATGTGCAGCCGACAAATCTGCGGCAACTGTGTGATGCCATCATGTCAATATGGACCAAACTCCCTGAGGAATGCTTCCAGCACCTTGTTGAATCTATGCCACGAAGAATTGAGGCAGTTCTGAAGGCAAAAGGGGGTCCAACCCGTTACTAGCATGGGGTACCTAATAAAGTGGCCGGTGAGTGTATATAAATTAATGGTGCTCACGTGAACAGCTTCAGAGACTGACACGGAAGAGAAGAAATTGTTAAATAAAGTCGTTATTTTTGTTTTGTTTTTGCGCACAAAATGTATTATCGTCGCTTCATAACATTAAGGTTGAACAATGTAGTCAAATGGACTATTTTAACGTTGTCTTTACTACCTTTACTGGGCCTTGAAAGTGGTGATTACGTTGCAGTCTATGTTGGGGTCAGAAAGCTCTCAGATTTCATCAAAAATATCTTAATTTATCTTCCAAAGATGAACGAAGGTCTTACGGATTTGGAATGACATGAGGGTGAGTAATTAATGACAGAATTGTCATATTTGGGTGAACTAACTGTCATTTTTTTAAATTACAATTTTACAATAATAATCTGAGTATGTGTAAAACGTGTCCGTGTAAAAAAAAAAAAGAGCATCTGTTATCCAATCACTGTACCTCACTCCCATCTTGCAGTCCATGACGTTCGGCAAATCAAAGTTGGCCAACAGGTCTTTCATTTTGAGAAAGAGCTCTCCATCTCTCTTAACCACTCCATAATAGCTGGGCACGAAAGAATGTAAAGCATCCTCTTTCAGCTTCTCAAAACACAGCTTCTCATTCTCTGAGAACTTCTTCAGTATGGAGCCCTCATCCCCTGCTTTAAAGCTGCCTGGGGAGAAACACAAACACAAAGGAAGACTGGAGTCACTGGAGCATATATAATCAACACTGAGCCGCTCAGCCAGTCAACCAGATCTTAGTCAGAATATGTGCCTTTATCATCTGTGAATATGAACATTACATGCACACATTTATAGTGTTAAAAAATGTTAGATATCGCGTGTGTTTATTTTACATGTTTGATATCTGCAGCTTAAGATGTGTAAATGAAAATAAGATCATATGTAAAATGTGTATTCTTTGACATGTGAGTCAAGCGTCATCACACTGATCATAACCACTTCCCAAAATATGGTATCAAATGACTGTACTTCCCCATGTATTTAAAAGCCCTGTTTACAAAAACAGCCAGAAAACACAAGCTAAAATCAGTGGTGTTTTCACAAAGGCAATCTGTCTGCAAATAAATTTGAATAAGAGAATTACTGATTGTACAGAAATAAATAAGAAAGAAGTTACAAAAAGCAAAGCTACACATGAAGTAAGATAATTACAATAATAGACTAAAAAGCATATTCAAGTCTTACTCGGTTAGGTTTTGATAACTTGTTAGTAAAAAGTAACATATTAATAAATGATTAAATTACTGTTAGTAAATTGATAGTCCCAAGCATAAAGTACAATGCTGTTCCATATGCATTTAACCCGGAAACTGTGCAAACTGTAGATATGGAACTGAAACATGAATTTACATCAGACAGAAATGTGCAGCATTTTTTGGGCATACCTTTATGGCCTGCTAGCTGAACCCAGGACAGGCGTCTTCGTTGTGAGGCCACCAAAGGGCAATGGACAATAGTCTTCAGCTTCCTCCAGGCATTGCTTTGCTGGAACACATTAAAACATAATCATCCATGACTATGATAGAAGTGCATTAAATATTTCAAACTCTCTGCTGAATTTATATAAAGCTCAACCCTTGACCACCCAACAATAAGTCTGAGATTGGATTCCAAAAAAGAAGAGTGACCACCAGTGACTGAAACCAACTGACAGTGTTTTTTTTAAACACTGCACAATGTTCCTTAAGTGTGTAAGACTGACTCACACACACATGGTCTCATTTGGAGCTGTGAAGCTCAGTAATCCAGCACTGCAGCCCATAAAATAGACGTTTGTTTTGCTGCCCATTTCAAATAAGCAACCTTGAAACCATTTCTGTTCATTTTAGGAGTAACATTAAATGAACCAAAGGCAAAGCTAAGACAGTGCAATGCAAATGTCAACGTGAAATGCGTTCACAATGCATTTCACTTCTATAATGTGACATACTTCTGAGTGAACCAGGATATTTAGTGAGGAAAAATGTAGGATGGGAGATCGTTTTATCCATTATCCATTAATGCTGCTAGTCTTATTGTGAATTCTCCATGGCATGTTATTCCAACAGAGCAAATTGTGGTCAATTTTGATTTCATGTTGATTTTAAAGTCGTAGTGTAATGGTGGAGGAGGTATGAAAATGGTGGAAATAAGATTTTTTTTCTTCACTAGAAGATTGATTTATGTCATTTTGATTATAAATTATGTTTAGAATAAATAATAAATAAATAAATGTTTAGAACACCCATAGGGTCCGGTGAATTTTGATTTCAGAACACGTTATTTCTAATGTATTTAATATATATATATATATTATTTCTAATGTATTTAATATATATATATATTATAAATAAAATAATGTGGGTTACAGGTGCACTTTGTGTGTTGGTCTAGTTACTGTGTCTAACATTTGTATGGCAGTAATGCCCTTAAATAATTTATCTTTATTTTATTTTGTCACAAATACACAGACATGTTTCCCCCAAACTGTAAAAAAAAAAAAAAAAAAATTCCCTTGGGAGATCATTTACTCCATGTGTTGAAATAGTAAGGGTGTAACTGAAGTGCAGTGTTTGTTCTTCCACTTGACATGGAAAGAAACATGTTTCTTTCTACCTCTGATGTGGAAGAATGAAGCAGACGATTCAAGTTTACCAACATGTTAAATTGTCCCTCAGGCACAAGATCTGAAAACCTTCTTTACAATGCAGCATGCAGCAAATATTGAGCCTTTAAATTGGACGTATACATAAAACTGCTTTTGAGGGTTGGACAAGATCCAGAGAGTACATCATATTTAAAGTCAAGCAGACTGCGTACAGCCCTGTATAAATACAGCGAAAAGCCATAAACCAAAGGCTATGACCTGCACTTTGTGGAACTGTGCATACACACATTTGTAACACGCCATAACTAAATATTGAACTCGACAGTCATGCAGTCAATTCAAACATTATGGTGCCAACTCTCAAACAACTACCAATCATGATTTATAAAAATGTGACATGTTTCTACAAAAAAATAAAAAGCTTTACCTTTAGTAAACATATCACATACTGAATAACAAAAAAGTCAACACTCTATTTTCCTTTTACAAGCATATTAAAAAGGCATTTATGACTTGAAACTATATACAAATCAAAGTGAAAATGTTAGATGTTAAATGTTATCTTTAGTACCTTTGTTTAGTATCTGTTGTTTGTTTGCTAGTTAGTCAAATAGACAATTATCACAACTGTTATTCCACTGTTATAGTGAAAATGTGCTTCTAAACTACAGGAATTACATATATTTACTGCAGAAAAGATCTCATTTCCATTGTGAGTATTCAAGAGTTTATAAAACTGACCTGAAGTTGGACTATATATAAAACTGCGGATGGAAACTTGTTTGTGACACTGTGGCTTCTGCCTAAATGTCAAGCGGCAATGAGTTTGTTTTGATATAGGCTGATAAAAATGAAGCGTTTGCCACTTTGTGACACTGCATGTGCTTTCCTTCTCAGAATATTAGAGTCTGGAACAGGTCTGTGCAAACATTCAATTCAAGTCCCTCTGAATGGCTTTTTACAGTGTCATTGAGCTTGAGCATCAACATTCAGTCAGTTCATTCAGTGCAAGATGTGTAACTTTCTGAAAAGGAAAGAGTAGATACTATGCAGACGTGATGTCCAGATTTACAGAGGCAAAGTGTTTAACGTACAATGACAGCGAAGGCCTTCTATGGCATTGAATGAGCGTGAGGACCACAATACATAACACATCCATTCAAAATAATCCCAGACATGGCAGAAGTGAGAAACAAAACGTTAGGAGATGATCGCTAAGATGTATTTATCTAAGTTAAATGTATTATTTATTTTTATTTGTGATTCTCTCATATTTTGGCAGATGCTTCTATCTGAAACCAGTTCAAAGTCCTTTTTATTAGGATGTTCCTTGGGAATTGAAGCCATAATCTTTGGTTGCTATAGTTGCTAGCCGAGTAACAGAAATAATATGGGCTAATTTATGTACTTTTTTCATCATCCAGTTGAATGCTGCACATTGGTGGTGGTTGAGGAGATTCCATGTAAAGCGCTGTAAGTGCCGAGAAAAGCACTATATAAATGTAACGAATTATTATTATGATTTTCAAATTAGTATTTAGAAATCATCTATGCTTGTCCCATCCACTAACAAGGATATTTTCGAAACAATTTGCAAAGGTCATCACTTCGAATTCACCCACTGTTACAGAAATTAACAACATGTGAGTAGGCATATGAAAAAAAAAGGGCCTTGGCACATAGTGGTTAAGCCTGTTGAGCTTGTTATTTTAACGCTCGAAGTGCTGCCAGGTTATTAAAGCTGCACGCCTGTGATATTTGCTCAACTCAATCTACATTGAAGGCGCTAAAATTCCAATTAAAACGCTGACCAGCCTACTTTGTAAACAATGCAGGAGAAACATATCAATCTGCTATGGATGGATGATGGATTTTTCTGTTATATTTTTAGTTCCCCACTACTGCAAATATTTCATCAGAAAGAACATAGAGCCACCTGATACAGATCTACATAGCTGCTAATGTCATGTGTTGTGTCACATACAGTAGCCTACTTTTCAATTGGCAACATGGTGAACAGACATGATTTCACAATTAGAAGCAAGTACAGACAAACAGACACCCACACAAACATACCATAATGATGAACCGGCATGAGCTCTACAGCTAAAGATCGAACACACAGCACATTGTGTTAATGGTGGAAATATGCAGATTTCAATCAAAAGTATTCTAATGCCTCAGTTATGGGGTCAAATGAAGATAACAGGTATCGAAAGCCTCGTTGGCAACTCAAGAACAGATTAAAAAAGGATTTCATAATGTAACAACAGTTCCTCATTACTATAGTCTCATGTTCTCATGACATGTTTCGAATAGTCTTCTTTTATTTAGTTTGAGAAGAGATGTATAAAAATAAAGAGTCCAAAATTAAGGTTATTTCTATTTATCTTATATATCTTATATTGAAGACCGGGACTAGTTGTCACATAGTGAAGTTGTCACAAAAGTGTCTCTCAGTTTTGAGTCAAACGGCCAATTACACAAATGTTGCCCTAGAAGTGGGTTTGTGGGTTTCAAACTCCTATTTCAATTAGCTCAAAGTCCTAGTTTTAGTTTGAAAAAAAAAAATGTTTTAAATTAAAATTACATATAATTACCATATATGTATATATACATATTTACCATATGTATATATATAATTACAATAATAGTTTGCCAAGACAATGCTTATATTTTTGTTATTGTTTTGTTGCATTAATTATCTTGTCAGATTCAAGTGTGAAAACGTGCCCCTTGTAATCTGATAACATGATAACATAAGGCTGTCACAAAAGATCAGCATCTGTCTAAAGAACTGTCTTTTGTAAGTGTAAAGAACTCCAGCCAGACATTTACTTTAAAACATACATTATTCTGATAAATATTCACAGTAAAATGTGACAACTATAAAACCAATACTGTCAAATAACCTTGCTACAATCTACACTCCTGAAGGCCATTCCAGTGATCAGTTCTTTACAAAAATAATAATAATCTAAAAAAAACTTTTTTCCACTACAAAGAACCTTTTGTGCAATGGAAAGTTTCCATGTGTGTTAAAGGTTCTTTATGGAACCATAGGCTAGATGCCAATAAGGAAACTTTATTTTTGTAAGTGCCTCCGCACGTAAATCACTAGGCTACATACCTCTCCTGAGTCTAGCGAGTCCCCCAAATGTTCCAGAGTCACGATGCCTTTGCTTTTGGTCTCGTTGTCGCTGAGAATGTCATCCTCCGACTCGTCGAACGCCGTTGAGGAGCCGTTGGAAGAGATGGAGGAGTTGGAGAGTTTGCGGCGCAGCCGTCCGTTCACCTCCTCCTCCAGATCCTCCTCGGTGATCTCCCGTGAGTCCCCATCAGACGTGATGGTCACCTGCGGCACCAGGCACCCTCTCCCCGGCTTACCGTCGCAGAGAAAGCCTGCTTGCCCAGTGTACTGTTCCGCCATCTGTGCTTGATCATCACAAATCTCTGTGGATGAAAAGTTATGTGCGCGTCCTCCTCCTCCTCCTCTCCCTGATCCGTCGCAAACAGGAGATGAACGGGAGAACACCGCCTCTCTCAGCGACCTCCGACTCTGTTTGGGCATCGAGGTGACAGGAGGGTTCAGATTAACCCCCCTCTGATCGAGGGGCCACACGCTGCTAGTGAGTGGGGGCCCCCAAAAAGAAATCCTGCGTATCGCCGCGGAAAATAATCAGTCGGTTCAGTCCAGGTAGAGATAAGGCTACTTTATTTCCAGTAAGTTACGTAACAAACGATCTCCCTCCGGATAACTTTGTTTGGCTTAGCGTGAGTCTGTGGACGTGCATTCACAGCCACGGAGACCCCGTTAACAGCGCTCGAGCTCTGTGAACACACATCTTCCGCATTTGAAACGTTTCAGCGCTCTTCCTGACTTTTAATTTGTTCGGCATTTGCTTGATAGCTCATTTCCTCGTTCTCTGTAGTAGGCTATTCCACTTCTGTTTATTGTAATGTATCAGTCACATCTGTTCTACATGCAATATAGATATCTAACAATATTATAAAGCATTGTTTATCCAAATGATTTTGATTATTTCTCAGATTTATGTTAAATTATATTTAAGAAAATTAAGGTTTGCAAATGTCAAAACGGATAAATACTTTAAAGTTTTTATGCTTAATAGCCTAATATAATAGGCCTCTAATATTACTATAATAGGCTATTACAATATTACTATATATTTGATCCTGTAGGCTAATTCATACATAAACAAGGTTTGTGTTTGTCAAAACTTTACTGGTGAAACTAGCATTTGGATGACTGTATATTTTAAAAATGCCTAATTGTATGTCGATGTATTATAGGCTAATGCAAACCTATTGGGGCTATTAAATCTTGTTGTTACTGTCACATAATGACTTAAAATTAAAATCAAAATTGACTTTTTAATTATGGTGTCATAACACAAAACACATATGACACTAAAATAATGAAATAAACATGAACTAAATAACATAAAACAATGTACATAACTAATAACAGAAAATAAAAAATAAAATAAACTTAATTTTTTAAAATAAAACCCAGACAAATGTGATGATTCTGGAAATGGCCCTTTCATCTTAAATTCTAATGCATGCCTACTTTTTACTTTGAAAACATAATAATCAAAAATATTTTATCCTATATAATAACTAGGCTATACATATTGATTTGTTAAAATATAATATCATTTTCCTCCGCAAATTAGAAGGTAATTCATGCTTTTCACTTCTATAAAATGATTTTTAAAATAAAATCACATGTAGGCGTCTGTTTTTAAAATATATCATTTTTAGTCGTTTTTTACTGTGGGAGTTGGGCTGTAGTTTGTACTTCATCGCTGTAGGAGGCAGTAAAGCTCTAATGGCAGACAGAGGTCACGCAACACAACAGAACAGAAGGAGAACGCAATTCCTTCTAGTGCATTTTAGGGAAGTTTAGGATTGCCCTCCTGAGCTTTTCACCCGTCCAAGTGCAGTTAAGCGTTTTCCCTTTTTGTTCTGTCTACATCCTGCAGTCACTACAAAATGTTTGCAGTCAGAAGAGCATTGCGTCTTTGTCAAAGAGTGGCAAATGTTAGTGTTTCGCGACGCGGTTGCGTTGGAGCTGTTCCAGTGGACGACATTGTGAACGGTCTGACCGAGGAGCAGATCCAGGTATCCCACACACACCCCCAGCTACCTAACCGAGAGCCAAAGCTCGTGAAATGTCACTGTTTCTTGTTTACGTCTTGTAGGAATTTTTGTTGGAATGAGTCAGTTTGCCGTGCTAGCTCACATGATCATGACCTTTGACACAATTCTGGGAACTTATAAGAGATTGTATTCGTTTTAGTCGCCAGGCAATTATAATATTCAACTTCAATTAGAGCATCATTCACACGGTTGTCGTTTTTTTTGACCTGACATAGAAAGAAAAAAAAACACGAACTACAGATCCAACATTGGAATTAAAATGTATAAGATTTAAACGGATAGTTTAAAAGTTACATGTTTTTACGGTTTTCATAATAACGTTACGTCAGTCTTCGTGCTGCCTGTGTCAAATGACCGTGCTCGTGCTGGTAGGTGTGAACGGTCTGCGCGTTTTGATTGGACAGGATCGTTTCAGATGCCCTTCGTTAGTTTTTACAGCAGCCCACTTGAACTGGTGGACATAACGCCACTTACAAAAATCTGTTATTGAACATATTGCAATTGCATATTGTTTGGACATGGTAGTCTCATTGTGAGGAAGTGGCAAATGTCCCTCTTAGTCTAATATAAATTCATGATCCAGATCTATTTTATTGTATATATGGTTTTCAGGTTAAATGCATGAAATAGAATTTTCTTTACACTGCATTTTCACATGATAAATGTCTGTACTGCATATTTGTGGAAGATGCAGCACAGACATTTATAATGTGACAATAGTTTCTGTTTTAAATAAATGCTGTTCTTTTAAACTTTCTATTCATCAGAGAATCCTGCAAAAATACTAATCAGTGCAACTGTTTTCAACATTGATAATAACAAGACAATTGTCCTGAGCACCAAATCAGCATAATAGAATGATTTCTGAAGGATCATGTGACAACTGGAGTAGTGACATCACAGGAGTAAAAGGGAAGAAAATACATTTAACCCTCTGGTACTGTTTGCGTGTAGATCAAAAATGACCAATTTCTTTTTTATTTCAATGAAATTATTGTACTATATTTTAGTTCGATAATATATTTTTATTTATTATTCTGTATTTTTAGGGGATTTTTTGGTACTAAATTATATTTATCTATAATCCATTTATTTACTTTTTGAGTTATTTAGCATGGACCTGAAAAAGAATTTTCCAACTTAAACTGTCATAAATCTCGAATGCTTTGGAGCACAGACTTAAGTTTGTTCTCTTTTAAAAGATGTCACTTGGTAGATTATTGTAAAAAAAAAAAAAAAAAAAAAAAAAAAAAAAAAGTCACCTTCATATTTTTGTGTGTGTGTGTTTGACACAGAAAGTGCCAAAACCTTTACCAAGTTGCGTACCGTTCCAATGAAGTAAAGAATTCTTTATATATATATATATATATTATATTACATATGTAATTTATTATAAGGTTTTTTGACATCATTAATTTATGTCTTTAATTTATTAATATTAACTGTTTTTGTCTTTTGTTCATTGTTATTAAAAATAACTTTATTCTTAAAGCTGCTGTCCGTAACTTTAAGTTAAAAATAATCCAAATTAATTATTTAAAAAAAAAACATCTTCAGCCAGTGTTCAAAACTATCTGCTTGCCATAGCAAGATTCAAAACGGTTAGCTTGTAATAATGATTTTAATTCCAGTGGTACTGGTGGGTTTTCGCGGGAAATTCGAGCATGTCTTTGCGTCATTACGTCACACCCGTACACATAAAGAAGGAGTTTCGGCTAGCCGGCTATACTGTGCGTGAGGAGATGTAGAGATAGGCTTTTCTCGCAGCACTTTACATGATTAAACTTATGGCGGATCCAGACAACAATCATCAGTGTCAACTGGAGATTAACCAGTTATAAAACCCAAAAGACTTTGTACTTCGAATTTAAGGTGGAAAGAGAAATAAACCGTCTCATGCAAACACAAGGATACACATCGGTGGGGCTTTTGAAAGGTGCGTGAACTCCCGAAGGGGTTCGAAACGGAAGAAGAGACAGCTTTTTCTGCTGAACAAGTAAGACATTTCAATAGTTCAATCGTGTAACAGTACGTTTTCTTAATTCACACAGTTATGGAGTTTCCTTTGTTGTGCCTTTCTCGTTTAGCTATTATGGAGAATATGAATTCTGAACTACACAGGTAATCATAAAACACATTAAATAACGTTAGTCACGCAATGCTGATGTTGTTAACATGAACAATTTGAGAGCAAAGTAGGCTATGATTTGCACGGTTGCTGTAAATCGCGCTGATTAAATCTAACGATCGCTTGTCATGTCGAATGCTTTTCCCCCCTTAGTTGATCAGAACAAAAATGGATGTTACTTGTTCAGAAGACATTTTCCGGTGAAAATTCTTATGTTGGTCAAACTTTCAAAAAGTGAATCTGTGATTCTGAATGACAGTATCCACACAGCGCGGTGATTGACAGCAGCACTCGCCTCAAAACACTGTGTTCATCCGCGCTGTTTCATGCCGATTTACAACCCACGTAAAGATGATAATTCCGCGAATCACTGCAGTTACAGATTTCGAACAGAGATGGCGACAAAAAGGGAAAAAGCTACGGACTGGAGCTTTAAAGGCATGGGGGAGCTGTTGGACATGATTACATGCAAAAAATAAATGTATACATTTGATCTTATATTTGTTTTGTTGTTGTGCTGTTAAAAAAATTCTTCTTCTTTTTTTTGAGGCAGGTTCTCCCATGCCTTCTTTTACCCTGACATGGGTAAAAGTGTTAAATGAACTCTCCTGGTGTACATATAGGTCCACGGACCTATATGTACACCAGGAGAGTTCATTTAACACTGGGGATTTTGCTTTGTTGGTCTCTACAATGCCTTGATAGTCTTTAAAGCACTATGAAATGTGTGCATTGGAATTGTTTTGTTGAGATTTTTGGCAGCTCATGTTGTTTGTGGACAGACCCCCTTGCGTTTATCACACATGTTTCTTTTAAACACCAGCTCAGACAGACAATCCAAAGATTCTGCCAGGAGAAGCTCGCTCCACACGCTGATGAGATTGACAAGAACAACGAGTTTCCCCGCATGAGGGTGAGTTCCTGTACATGACAAGTATCTCAGGAGTCTCTGTGTAATAATCCAGATTAATGAATCAGAACAAATATGATCTTTTATAAACTAGGAGTTTTGGAAGGAGATGGGTGATCTTGGACTGCTCGGAGTTACTGCGCCAGGTCGGCCTATTTACAGTCTGTCTTCAAAAAATATTGTTTATGAGAAAACTGTTGCTGAGACCGTATTGAGCATAGTCTGATATGATTCAACGGTTTTGATTGTGTGCAGTGGAGTATGGTGGAACGGGATTGGGCTTCCTTGATCATGTGATTGTTATGGAGGAGATCTCCCGTGTGTCAGCAGCTATTGCTCTCAGCTATGGAGCGCACTCCAATTTGTGCGTAAATCAGATGGTTCGTCATGCAAACCAGAAACAGAAAGAGAAGTACATGCCCAAGGTGTGAGTCAAAAGATTTATATTAATGTGTCTATTACATTTTCTAAGCTAGCTTTCTAAAACAGATCCATGACATAATGTATTAGGGAAAATTCATTTTCCACACTGTAAATGCAGGCTAATTAAGTAGTGCATTTAGGTTATTTATGGATTTTAGGGTTGGGTTTTTTTTCCCCACAATGTTTGTGCTTCAGTTGATGACGGGGGAGCATGTGGGTGCCTTGGCCATGAGTGAGCCCAACGCTGGCTCTGATGTGGTGTCCATGAAACTGAAGGCGAAAAAACAAGGTGACTGGCCTTCTGTTATCACTCTATGTGCTGCTCTGTTAGTCACCACTGTCTGCTGCTATAATAAGCACTGTTACATCAGTGCCATGGCCATGTCATTACTGGTTAGATGCATGCATGTTACAGTATATCTGTTAACTGATTTGTGTGATATATTGTCCTTTCATATACACTACCATTCAAAAGTTTTAGGTCAAAAAAGAATTTCAAAAAGATTTCATTTATCAGAAGTGACAGTAAAAACATTTATAATTTTACAAAATATTTCTATTCCAAATAAATGCTCTTTTGAATTGTTCTATTCATCATCAAATCCACAAAACTATTAAACAGTGCAACTGTTTTTAATATTGATAATAAGAAATGTTTCTTGAGGAGCAAATCAGCATATTAGAAGGATTTCTGAAGGACACTGAAGAGAAGACTGGAGTAATGATGCTGAAAAATCAGCTTTGTCATCACAGAAATAATTACATTTTAAAATAGATTAAAATACTTTAAAATAGTAAACATTATTATTTTAAATTGTAATAATATTTCACAGAATTACACATAAAAATAAACACAAAACGAAGGTAAAAGCAGCCTCACGGAAGACTGCCGCAGTGCCGCACACACATAACCAAAACATAACATAAATGTCCAGGCCTGGTCCGCTCTCATCCTTCACTGTGTCGTCGCTCCTCCTTTTATGCTTCCGAAGCTCCTCCATGAGAGAAACGAGACCGGCACAGGTGACGCTCAGTATCAGTCACGCTACCGTACTCGCGCTATTTTCTCACGGCTCTCCGTCTCGTCCTGCTCGCCACAGCAATATATTGTGAATTTTTTTTATTAGAGTTTGTATTTTATGTTTGTTATGCTTATTTATACCATTGCATGCTTTGGAAGGGCCTTTTAAAGAAATTTGTGACTGGCAAAACATCTACTATAATTTAGTGACGTATTAGTGATTTATGTTGCGTGCAAAAATAATTTAATCATAATACATAACTGCTTTTGAATGGCTATCTAATGAAAAAAAGATACATCTTGCTCCTAGAATGTGACAACACATGTTTGGCTGTCTTCTTTAAGGGGATCACTACGTGTTGAATGGTAATAAGTTCTGGATTACGAACGGACCAGATGCAGATGTTCTGATTGTGTATGCTAAGACAAACCCAGAGGCAGAAGCCCGTGGCATCACCGCTTTCATCATAGAGAAGGTTAGAGAAGACAAACCACTTCCTCTTGGATGATTGATTACGGTGTACCGTTCACACTGCGTTGCACTTGGCATTCAGATTTTGATTGAATGTTTCATTTTTAATCTGTTGTTCCATAAGGCTACAACTTCAAATGTGAAGTCATATCATAGACATTGTGCTTGTGTTCTTGAAGGGCATGGCAGGATTTAGCACTGCGCAGAAGCTGGATAAACTGGGAATGAGAGGATCTAACACCTGTGAACTCATCTTTGAAGACTGCAAGGTCCCTGGTGTGTGAATGTACACGAGTTTATTTTTATGCATATTAGTCTGAATGTGTTGGACGTCCAAACATCATTTGAATGTTCTTTTGTGGTTTCAGAGGAAAACATATTGGGCCCGTTAAATAAAGGAGTATATGTTATGATGAGTGGGTTGGACCTAGAGAGACTTGTCCTGGCCTCTGGACCTGTTGGGTAATTGTTACTGTTTATTTCCAGTAGCATGCTTAGAAATGTAAACTGACAAAGACTGTCGAAGAGTTATTTTTGTCCTTCTTATACATTCCCTCAGCATCATGCAAGCTGTGCTTGACCATGCAATTCCTTATCTTCATATTCGTGAAGCCTTTGGACAGAAAATTGGCCACTTCCAGGTATGCTTTTGACTGAAATATGCAAGGATTTGTGTGTTTGTCATGTTTTATGTTTATCTAGTCAAGTCATCTTCTATAGATTGTTTCAAGGCAGTTTTACAGTGATAACAGGAAATTAATGGAACAAAGATTGTTTTGATTGTACAGCAGCTCTAGAAGAAAGTCATTGTCCCGTTTTAGTAAGTTCAGCATTGATTCATTTCCGTTTTAAAAATCATTAGCGCCGTTTACACAACACCGTTTTCAACTGAAAACAGAAAACTTTTTATGCGCTATGACCGTTCATTTACACGACAACGGCGTTTCAGTGGCCTTAGAATGCAAACTTTGAAATAGGTTTCAAAGTGCAAGTTTTTGAAAAAAGTTTGACTAGGGCCAAATTGTGATGGCTAGACGACTGGGCCAGAGCATCTCCAAAATTGCAGCTCTTGTAGGGTGTTCCCAGTCTGCAGTGGTCAGTATGTATCAAAAGTGGTCCAAGGAAGGAACAATAGTGAATCGGCGACAGGGTCATGGGCGGCCAAGGCTCATTGATGCACGTGGGGAGCGAAGGCTGGACCGTGTGGTCCGATCCAACAGACGAGCTACTGTATCTCAAATTGCTCAAGAAGTTAATGCTGGTTCTGATAGAAAGGTGTCAGAATACACAGTGCATCTCAGTTTGTTGCAGACCAGTCAGGGTGCCCATGCTGACCCCTGTCCACCGCCGAAAGCGACAACAGTGGGCACGTGAGCATCAGAACCAGACAACGGAGCAATGGAAGAAGGTGGCCTGGTCTGATGAATTACGTTTTCTTACCTGGGGAAGACATCGCACAGGGTTTCCGCGGGGCATTAAAAAGCATTAAAAGTCCTTAAATGGATTTTGCGGAAATTACGAGCACTTTGGTCACTTGATTTCAAAAACAACCCATTTCAGATCGCCTCTTATTTAACAAACGAACTAAATGAATGCTCTGCTAGAGTTAACTGGAGATGTTTTATTAATTTGTATTGGTACATCCGTGCCGTGAGATGTTTAAAAAATGGTGGGGACACATGAATCAACCCTGGCAAAAAGTGGTGGGGACATGTCCCACCCGCAAATTACACCTATGTGTTCCAGGAAATATATATATATATACACGTGGTTAGTCATGGGTCGTGTATGGCATTAAAAAAATGAAATGGCCCTCCAAATTCCCCAGATCTCAATCCAATCGAGCATCTGTGGGATGTGCTGAACAAACAAGTCCGATCCATGGAGGCCCAACCTCGTAACTTACAAGACTTAAAGGATCTGCTGCTAACATCTTGGTGCCAGATACCACAGCACACCTTCAGGGGTCTAGTGGAGTCCATGCCTCGACGGGTCAGGGCTGTTTTGGCACCAAAAGGGGGAGCAACACAATATTAGGAAGGTGGTCATAATGTTATGCCTGATCGCTGTATATATTGTGTGTGTATATATATATATATATATATACATACATACATATATATATACATACAATATATACACACACACACATGTAATTATTTTGAGGTTTCTCATGCTTTAGAAGTATGGCACTATATGTGCACTCAACCTGTTACAAAAATACTGAATAAATTTGAAACTGGTTTTGAGAAGAACTCAAAAACTAATGAAGAAGAGGAAGAGCGAATTATACAGGCTCGTCTACAAGTCAATGTATCAGAATGGTAATGCGCTTTATTTATTGCTCTCTACAACGTCGGACACATAACGGTAATTGATATGATTAGACTTTGGCTTGACTACGTTATCAAACAGCTAATAATGTGTTTATAATGTTACACAAACCATGTTCCTGTTCGTCATCTCGTCATCATGCCTTCTAAAAACCAGCATCTATAGACTGCTTTGAACGTCATAGAAAGTCAGTGTAGAAGAGCTCCGCTCCATTGTAACTAAAGATTTGTGTTTTAAATAAATGCAATCCCAAACTTTTGAATGTATGCATGTAAAGTTATGAAAAGATATTAAACAACTATGTTCCCTTGGCAATAAAATGAATCATTTCTTTCCATTAACTAGCTAATGCAGGGAAAAATGGCTGATATGTACACACGGCTTAGTTCATGTCGACAGTATTTATACAACGTTGCCCGTGCTTGTGACAAAGGCCATTTCAGTGCTAAGGTAAGAGCTCTTTATACAGTTTTTGTTACTTGAATGCTTTATTTTGTAATGTTACATATCAGCCTGGAAATTATGCATACAGTCTTTCCAGAGTGTGTAGTAGCAGTATTGATTTGTGATGTTATTGTAGGACTGTGCTGGGGTAATCCTTTATTGTGCTGAGAATGCGACTCAGGTTGCCTTGGATGGAATTCAATGCCTTGGTGAGTGCTTAGTAGTTAGCACAGCAAAAAAAACTGAGAAAAAGCTCTCAATGTACCTTAGACAGATATCAGGGCCAAACCCTTCTGTCTTCATTCTTAACAATTACTGGGTGGATAAACAGCAAACAAGTCAAACTTGTACCTGTTGCCGTAGATGAATTGTTCCTTGAATGTATAGGCAAATTTGGTTTGCATATCCATTTTGATCATTAAAGGTGCAGTAAGCGATTTCTGAGAAACACTGTTGAAAGTGGATCAGACCGAGCACCACAACACACTTGTAGCCAATCAGCAGTAAGGGCGTACTCATTAGGGGGAGGTGCATGTTTTGGATTTGGGGGCTGGGCTATAAAAGTAGGGGCAAGATCCTTTTGGGTAAGGGCATGCTTGTTTTGGATTTTGGATTGCGTTTCTCATAAATCACTTACTGCATCTTTAAGCATTCATGTGTTGATTGAATGTATATGGGACATATATTGATCCAACAATTTGGACAGCCAATGTTAGACTAGTCCTGTTGATATGTCAACAGCTCTGAGATAAAAAATTGATCAATTCAGGATTTTAGGTGCGTTTCAATCAGCTCCCTAGTTCAGTAATGATCTAGTTCAGTTCACTGATCAAGGAGTCGTAAAAAATCCTACCAGTGCACTGACACGGTCGCTCCCTAAAACGTCCCACAATCCACTGTGAAAACCAGGGAGCATTAATGCTCATTATGTTCCCGTAACGCAGTGGTTCCCAACCTTTTTTTGTCTGAGACCCCCTTTTTCCCAAGAAAATATTGTAGGGCCCCCCTTCACATTTAATGATATTATCGCTCTTGTAAGCTTGCAGCAAGGATGACAAAATATATATTTTTTTCAAACAAACGGTATGTTTATGCACAAATAATAGCCTATAATGTTGAAAATACAATAACAAAAACATCAGTAGGCCCTTTGTAATTTAAAAACGTAAGCCTAGGAGAAGCCTATATATTGGCCCTATTTGAAATGCAAAAACAAAAATATTCACACTGGTGTGTAGGTAAAGAAAAAGAAAGAATATAGGCTATTACTAAATGACTGTTGTCTGGGGCCTCAATACTTGCATGTTATTTGTGAGGCTTTATCAATATGAGGCTTTATTTTTTACGCTTTTGGCTCTATGGTGAGCGATAATAAACTTGCGTTTATTAACAGAATAAAGCATCTTTCGGAAGAACATTGTAGCCGGAACTACTTCTCTCTGTGTAGGTCTATGACGAGTCACGCAGGCACTGGGCTACTCCCAAGGGGGTAATCCATCGACCGGAAGTTGAAGCCGGCCGGGTGCCGCCATGTTGTAGCAGAACTTCACTTGCGTTAGCATTTCCATTGACTCCCATTCATTTTGGCATCACTTTGACAGCGAATAACTTTACATCTGAGGCGTTTAAAGACTCCATTTGTCCATTATTTATTTCTAAAGAAACACGACAATGTATAAAGTGCTCCATTACCTTCTATGTTACATTATGGCCCCGTAGAAACAGTTTTAGTAAAAAAAGGCTAACGATTGCGTCATAACCACTCGACTCTCTGTCGCGCTGTACAGAAATTACCGTACAGACAGGAGGAGAAGCTCGCAGGCAATCGGGGGGACGTCCCGTCAAGGGAGAAGCCCATAGATAATGAGTCCATAAAAGCAACGGAATACTTACTCCTGCTCACTCACGTCAAAGAACTCTTTGCTCAATTTCCCCGTCTCTGCAAGATTAACGTTGGCAATTTTCACGCACAGCTAGTAGAAGATTAACGTCTGTCAGACAGGTTGCTCACGTCATCAAGCTTAGTTTGAGTCGGTTTGAGTCTGCGCGTCAGGAACGGAAGTGCTCAGAAATCGCTAAAAATGGGCTTCAACTGTCTCAACTGAGTTCCAATGAGATGGCTCTGTCCATTTCTTTTACTGTCTATGGCTACTCCGCAGCGGCAGCGATCCGAACCAGTGTAAAATAGTCCCAATGTAAACACTTATTATAGGTGGACCATAGTGGTTCAGGATAAGACAAAAACACGGATTGGAAAATGGATTCATGATGAACTCGCTCATCATATACATTTTGTCAATTTTGAATAGAAAAAAAGTTAAGGATTTTTATTTATTGCTCATTGCTCAAACCTTTCAAAATATGACGCGACCCCCCACAGAGCTCGCTGAGGCCCCCTTGTGGGCCGCGACCCCCCTGTTGAGTAGCCCCAGAGTGCAGTCTGGACGATGGGGCGAGGCGACACTTTTGGGCGGGGCGACACGTGTCGCTCCGCCCACACCTGATTTTATTGGCTTATAATACAGCACTCTTATTGGCGTAGATGCTTAAGGCATGAGCATGCGCATTCCATTATGTACGAGTCTATGGTAGGAGTTTATGGATGATCTACGACGCTGTTTGGCCATAGCTACTACAGAAATATTAAGTTATAACCATGGCGATTTCCTATTTCAGTAACGATCAATTGGATAATGTTTTGATGAATTTACGAATCAAGTTAGATGAAGTTCCTGTCAAAATGTATTCGTATAGCGCTCAATTCACATCGTTTCAAAGCAGCTTTACAAAAAGTAATATTGTAAGCTTTATAGGCTATAATATTGAGCAGTTTTAGGGCTAGGCGATATCACGAAATAGCCTATGTTGCTGATGATACACTGTTTGAGATTTAGCCTAGATACTATTGTATTTATTAATTTACCCTGGAGATAAAGTCAGTGCCACTTTTAGTGAGCAATGATCATGACGGCATGAAAATTAATTACTGGCATAGAAGGAGAGATAATTTCTATAGGCTGATGATTTAGGCTAGACAATATTTTTCCGCATTTCATGCAGGGCTCCGGAATTTTACATCATTCGTAAATGCTTCTTCGTTTTTCCATTAGGATCAGTGAATAAACACAAACTCGGGATTTTACACAAATGATGATAACTGTATTTCAGTAAAACATTGTATAAATCCAAAAGTGTGTTTTATTTTATTTTAAAGCAAAACCACGGTGACAAATAAGACAATGATAGGCTACCAAATAGCATACAAGCCCTGGCCATTGGGGTTTGTGCGTAGGCTACAAAGGGAATAAAAACCGTGCACTGCTGAAATGTGAAACAAAATATATATATATTTATTTACTAAAACAGATTTATTATGTCGATCTAGGCTATAGCAAATATTATTATTTATGTGCTCAAGAGTGTATTTAAGCAATATGCCTACATGTTCATATCACTTCTCTGCTGGGTATTTTATTTATTTTATTATAGGCCTTATAATTGCACAGATTTACAGCAGTGTTTTTTTATGGTTATGCAGCTAGCCTAATATGTGAGTGTTAATATTTAAAACCATTTTTTATCCCGTAGCCTATACTACGCAGATTAAAACATGGACACGTAATGCGGGGGTGGATAAATAAATTATAGGATTTTTATAATGTCGCAGTCACAGATAGTTGTAGCTAGCCTACATGTTAACCAGTTGACACTTATTAGAAAACATGAATCTTTTAAAACTATAACATAGGGCTTTACAGAACCATATATAGGCCCTCATTTTATTAACAGGTAAACAACAATGAAACATGAGTTTGCCATTAAACATTTTATTTTGCACTTTGTAGCCTACCAAATAATGCACGCATCTCGTTAAAAAATGAAACAAAAACGGTCGTGCTTTAAAAATTAAAATCAGCTGCTATTAGGCTACATTCTTATAGTGAATTATCATCCTTTGCGTAAAATTCCGAGTTTGTGCTGATCCACCGATCCTGATAGAAGTATAAAGAAGCCAAGTGAATGACGCGCTATAATGTAAAACATCTCAATGAAGTAGGCCTACAGGTGCTGTGTCACCAAGCGTTCGTTTTTAAACAATAACTTAATCAATTCTGTGTCTTAAGTACAATAAAACAGCAATAGATCTTAACTAAAATTACCATGGTAAACCGATAAGATAGCCATACGATTAAAGTATTTAATAGTTCTTTAATACGGCCAAATCATTCATAAAATCGTACTTAAAGGAATGCGCATGCTCAGACCTGAATCGTCTACACCAATAAGATTGCGGTATTATAAACCAATAAAATTGGGGGTGGGCGGAGCGACACGTGTCGCCCTGCCCAAAAGTGTCGCCCCGCCCCATCGTCCAGACTGCACTCTGGGGTACTACCCCCTGTTGGGAACCGATTCTGAAGTGCAAAACATAAATCATGTGAGCCAGCTCACTACACATAATGACACGCGATAGATGTTTTTAAAATACAAACCATCATTTAATTATATTTCGACATAAACACGTCGCTAGACAGGTTACAAACATAATCTAGCTAACATTTATTGTTTATTTACAACTGAAATGTTGCACGTATATGTAACAAACAAAGTAAAAATGATAACAATATAAATGTAGTGATGTTGTACAATGAGGAAAAAGTCATCACTTTCCCAATGCGTATTGTGCCAGGGTGCTTAGTTACTGTCCTTACCAGGGCCGAATTCATGTACACGATATACTGATTCACGACATAAGGAGCTGATTGAGACGCACCCAATGTCAGTGAATGAAATCCTGCTAATTCAGTAAGCCTAGGTCTTATGACTCAAGTCCTAGTTGACTCACTTTTGCATCTGTTCACAGGTGGAAACGGTTACATTAATGACTACCCAATGGGCCGCTTCTTAAGAGACGCTAAACTTTATGAGATTGGAGCTGGTACCAGTGAGGTCAGAAGGATGATCATCGGCAGAGCCTTCAATGCCATGTTCAAATAAGAACAGCACTTAGTGGATGAGAATCTGATCCTACATGAACCGTGTTGCTTTTATTTAAGACAAAACAGTCATCTGGCATTATAATTTTAACACTTCCATTCATGTGAAGCGTACTTGCTAATCGGTTTCAAGAGCAGTGATACAAAACTACAATAGGTCTTTTGGATGTCTAAAGCTGTTTATGTGATGTTCTGTTACAATACATCAAGTGGTCTCGCATACAAGAACACAAGCAGTAGGAAGAGACGTACCTCTCAGACCCCAAGTCCTTTTGAAAGGATAGACTATGAATTCATCTTAACTAAGTAGTTGCACAGTTAACTGCAAGGGGAAAAACACTTGAGGTAAACCACCAAAACAATTATTTTGTCACGGTAGACTTTGTCATGTGACTCGGATGTTTCTGTAGCACATGGTACATGTAATCGACTTGTTTTTTTTGGTCAGTCTTTGTAAGCTGGTTTGCATATCATCTCTATCCCCTAACATGATTGTTTGTTGCTCGTTTTCTTATGTGAATAAAATAATTCTTTATAGAGTATATTTATTGAAGTCGTTGTAATTCAAACATTCTTTCCCATTCTTTTTGTATTTTCATTATGCATTTCCCACTTCATTTGTATAATCTTAAGATTCAAAAGTAGTTGCACTTTTTTTTATCGTACCGACCCATCAAATCTTTGGGTTTTCAGAATTCTGCCTTAATGAATAATCGCTTGATGTGTTTGAAGTAAACTTACTGGTTGTATAATGATTGTTTAGAATTAACATAATCCTATTTCCATCTATATCTTTTGAATTTCTGAATTATTAAAAAGCATTGCATACTCTTTGTATTTGTGGTGTTATTTCCGATTTTATTGTTATTTTTTATAACTGTCTTAATTTACCAGTGTTATTTTAGGAGTTATATTATTTATTCATATTTTAAGCTTTTTGATATATTTTAGTTTCAGTTTTAGTAGTTTTGTGATGTGCTTGTCATTTTTATTACTTTTTAAGAAAAATATTTTTGTTTGGCTTAAATTTTTTTTTCCAGCTTTAGCTTTTACTTATTTTGTTTTATTTCAGTTTTATTTATGTAGCACCTTACAGGCTGTAGTTCCAAAGTGCTGTACATTGCAATAAAAACCAACAGAACAATAAGACAAAACATAAAAACATCCATGTGCAAATGTACTAAAATGCCAGAGTACAGATAAGAGTTAGTTGCCAAGGCAACATTTTCAATCATGTTGTTTGTTCATCAAATATCAAGATTTTATTTCATGTAACGTAAACCATTTTTAATAGTTTTAGTTAACAAAAACAATAATGTAATTTACAGTGTTATTTTCTACTTGAAATGGAAAAAGATGCCTTATAGAGCTGTTCACTATAATCTCAGTACATTTCTTTAATGGTTGAAATGGAAAATAATTAAGAACATTCACAAAAATAGTGATATTTAAAAAGCATATGTTAACCATCTGGTTGATTCTTTGAGCAGGTGTTATGGAAAATTACTGAACAATAACTCTTCATTGCAAATAGAATTATTTATTTTCTTTTAACTAAGTATATTTATTTTATATAATCCATTCAGTATATAGCCTACTTCATCAATGCAAATTTAATCATCTGTATACTTGATTGTTAGAGTTAATTAAATTATCATCAGATTGATTAGTTGTGAAGTTTTGTAGATGCAGTTCATTGCATTGATATTTTGTGACAACATTCATCAATTGTTTAAAGAAACAAATTGGTTCCAATATCAAAAAGCAGTTACAAAAAGGTCATTACTGGAATTGTTGTTTGAAGGGATTGTTAAAATAAAGTATTCTGATTCTTTCTGCTTGTCAGAAGTAAAAGAGTCCTGTGTTGTAGCAGGCAATGTGATAAACTACAACTTGAGGGGAACTGACTTCATGAATCTACTAAAATGATTATAAGTCACATTTTTTAAAAATTGGCTCAGAAAAGTAGCATCATTTACTTGCAGATTTCACTTTTCAAATTTACTTGGGTTTCACATGTGCCAATAGCCCTTTAAGAAACTCCATGTTGTCCCAGCATGCTATACGTCAACACACTGGCCGTGTCACAAAACCTAGTGAGCTGCCTACCTAGACAGCATAATGGACATAGTGGGCGCATTCCTCACTATTATTGAGCATTATAGGTGCGTGCAGCATGTTTAGAGACTCAGGGGCGTGTTGTGTGTCAGTTCAGTTGACTGTGATGCCTAAAAATGCAGTCTAGGCAGGCAGATCACTATGCTTTGGGACACCGCCATTAACAGCGGATGGTGGTGTTACGTAAACTCCATGGCAAATGTGTTTGTGTCAGTTCTGCATGAGTCTGCTCTATTCCAGGTGTTCTCCTCAGGATGACAGTACTATGAGCTTCCCATGTATCCACGAGAGAAACAAAAGCGGACCAGCAGTGTGTTACCAATAAAGTATGTCATTTAAATCCACGACACCACTAAAGGTAAGAGAATCTCTACGTTTGAAAGAATACGGGAAGTTTGTAGGCATAATTCGATTCTTTTTTTGGCGTGCTGTCCTCCTATATTAAATTTCTTCTAAACCCGTCACTCTCTGAAGTAATTAAGAGTGCTTTTTGGAAAGAAGTCTAATCCATCATTTAGTTTCGTTACTCATAATGACAGGCATGTTACCCATCTACATAACATTCCTACGCGACGCGTCAAAACTAGAATGCTCTCAATATAATCAAGTAATTTGTCCGAAAAATCGCGCTTGCTAGATTATAAAAAGGAGCAATCCTAGATTGTCGCTCGCAGTGAGTGAAGGCAAAGACTATGGTGTAGGTGATGAGTTGTTTGTCTAATCTTTTGTTTGTTAGTAACGCAATCACGGGTTCTTTGCACTGGTTGTTCCCTATGGTTGTTCCCTGTCGAAAACACTGGAACATCAACTTGAAACTGACATTTTTGCTCTGGTCACATTGTCTGACTTTTATTCGAGTATAAAAGTCAATGGCCCGATAAAAAAAAAGAAGTTTAGAACATTTTGTTATTGTACTGACTGACATTGAAACTTGTCCATTGACTCATTTGCTTCTGGTAGGCTACTGCATTTTATTGATTCTTTAAAGGCCTTAATTAGGCAAATTAATTTTTGAATGTCACCCAAAAAGCAATTTGGCCTTTTTATACTTACACGAATTTAGACTTTATACAAGTAGTTTTAGTTAATACTTTTATATTCTGATTATGAATAGGCTACATTTTTTGTGTTAGGGATGAAGAATAGCACATTTAAAGGGTTAGTTCACCCAAAAATGAAAATTCTGTTATTAATTTCTCACCCTGATGTTGTTTCAAACCCGTAAGACTTTTGTTCTTCTTCGGAACACAAATGAAGATCTTTTTGATGAAATCTGAGAGCTACACAACTACCAATTTGATGCTTCAAAAAGTTCATAGTTGAGCGATTTAGTCCACATTTTCTGAAGACACGATCGCTTTATACGATGAACAGATTAGGCTATTTATGCTTTTATTCACATATAAGCATTCATCAACGCACACATCAGGTATGGTAAACAGAAGCTCAATCATTTTTGTTTGATGTGCAAGAACCAATGAGGTTCATTCTCATGTGTTACGCAGCACGTTTGAGCTTCCGCAAGAACCAATGAGGTTCATTCTCGTGTGTTACGCAGCACGTTTGAGCTTCCGCAAGAACCAATGAGGTTCATTCTCATGTGTTAGGTAGCACGTTCGACCTTCCGCAAGAACCAATGAGGTTCATTCTCGTGTTACGCAGCACGTTTGAGCTTCCGCAAGAACCAATGAGGTTCATTCTCGTGTGTTACACAGCACATTTGAGCTTCTGCAAGAACCAATGAGGTTCATTCTCATGGGTTAGGTAGCACGTTTGAGCTACCGCAAGAACCAATGAGGTTCATTCTCGTGTGTTACGCAGCACATTTGAGCTTCTGCAAGAACCAATGAGGTTCATTCTCATGTGTTACGCAGCACGTTCGACCTTCCGCAAGAACCAATGAGGTTCATTCTCGTGTGTTACGCAGCACGTTTGAGCTTCAACAAGAGGTTTGTTCTTCGGAGTTGAGCTTCTGTTTATGTTCGCTGATCAATGATTGTGAATAAAAGCCTAAATTAAATCTTTATTAAATCATGTCTCTTCAGAAAATTTGGACTAAACCGCTCAATTCATATGGATTAGTTTTACAATCTCTTTATGAACTTTTTGAAGCGTCAAAATGTCAGTTGTGTAGCTGTCAATGGAGGAACAGAAATCTCTCAGATTTCATCAAAAAGCTCTTTTATTTGTGTTCCGAAGATGGTTCGATCTTACGGGTTTGGTACGACATGAGGGTGAATAATTAATGACAGAATTAAAAAAATTGGGTGAACTAACCCTCCGATGTTTTGAGTGATTGATTTATATAAAAATTTACCTATTTGAATAACATAATTTTAAGTGTACTACAAGATAATGATGCATATAAAATCTGCTTTAATGGAATATTTATCTTCCATGACATTGTATGACCGTGTCACCATTTTGCTGTGCTGGGATGTGACAGTAGCCTATATAGTTGAAACTTTTGTTTCTGTCGATAAAGAGAGACTGCTCTTTACCTGACCAGAGATGACATTGTAGTTTGCTATCTTTCAAGTGCTACGGTTTTGTTTTCATCAAAAGAGAATTGTAAGACACTTTGGTTTTGCTTATTGAAAAAATGTTTAACCTAAAATTTACCTAAAATCTTTGACATGTCAATTGTCATTAGCTTTGTCAATTAAGTTACGTTCATAACACCTAGACTTTATATGCTATTGTTTGAAAAGGCATTATTGTCAATTTAGGTATTTTATTTTTATATGCTCAGGGCTCAACGCTAAGGATTTTTTCTACTGGCCTGGCCGGCCCAGTGGTTCAAATTTGTACTTGCCCAGCCAAAATGTTCACTGGTCCCACAACAAAAAATGTATTAAGTAAAAGAAAAGAAAATGGGCCCATAAAATAAGCAATGTTTTCGTTTAGTATTTTTTGATACATGTAACCATAATAAATAAGGTTATGACAACAAGAGCTATAGATTAACTCATTTAAACAGTACGTAATAAAATAGGAACAAATAATTAAATTACGAGCAATAGCACAAATAAATACAGCAGAACAAACATAAATGAAATAAACTGTGCTTTTCAGGTTTTTCATGTAGCCTATAAACAGGAGATTTCCAGGTAGGCTACAGAAATTGTAATAATGTATAACTATAGATCAACCTTTATTAAAGTTAATCAGTGAAGAGCTGTTAAAGATGCATGAATAATGTTTTGAAATGTTGAAAATATAAAACGTTAAATACTGTTGTTTGACATTTTTTTTAATGAAAAGATACTTTAAATGTTAAATTAAACCCACCAGTAGGTGGCAGCAAGTCACTTTTAATGAGTGAGTCATTGGGATTCAACCGATTCATTCAAACGGCTGATTCATTCAAGATGGTTAGAGAATTTTACTAAATGAGTGAGTCATTCAGCTGATTGGTTCAAAAAGCTGATTCATTCAGTAAAGATACAGTTGCTCAGAGACGCAAAACAGTGCTGTGGACTTTGTTTTGAAACTATTTTCGTTTGCGGAATAGAGCAAAACAGGCGATTTGATGTCTAAAATGTAAGTCACTTAATATTAACTTCTTTATTAAACTATGTTGTATAAACTCAATATCACATTTGTAATCATGGTGATATTTGGAGGAAAAACGGCGCTTTTCGTGTAATATTGGTTAATAATATTAAATGATATAAATATATAAGATATTCAGGGGCATTTTTGCCTCTTATCTTGAATCTGGGGGCATTTTAAATGCATTTTAATAGACTAAAGCACGCATTTTAATAGACTAAAGTAAAAGCATAGGCTACACTCTAACGTTAAATGTGCACGTGCGCTAGTCTAATCTACTAGACGACATGTATGCGTGCACTCAATGGGTGTGTTTTTGTTTAGTTTTTGTAAAGTGGGGGACATACTGATGTCAGATCGTTAAATCAACAATAGCGATATCATCATATCGCACACTTCTACAGCACTGGCCCGATCGGGCAAGTGACAGTTTCATCAACTGTCCCGAGGGTCGTTCACACTGGCCCCGGGCCATCGGGCAGTCCTTATTGTTGAGCCCTGATGCTGTCACTAACACATTGAATATGAAGCACAGTTTTCATTTATCTTAACACACAAAAGGCAAGAAAGCATGTTGGTATGGAAAATACATTTTAGGTCACGACTGAAACTGATAAAGCTCTTTTCTTTGTAATATTTCTCTTTTTTTTCTTCTTTTTTTTTTTTTTTTAGATTTTTAGTTAGTAGTTGGACTGGTCAGCTTGCTTTCCAGTTTTATGCCATTATTATCCAAAACCCCCCTTGCCATGTTTGAGGAGCAAGCATATGTTCTGTTGTCCTATTTTATGATCCAATTATAGGATTTTGAATGATGTTGGGTTATAGTCTTCTGTTCAATGTGGCTTAATCCACATTCCTTCAGGCTGCCTTTTTAAGTGCCTGAATTCTATGTAAAAATTATTCCGTGATGATTGTTTTGTTTTTACGTTTCATTGGTTTTGTTTGACCTAAATGCCTTCATAAAAAGTACAAATGTTCTGTAAGTTGCAAATACACAAGGCAATGTGCTCCAAAACAGTCAGCTAAAGGTGAAATGTTTTGACTAAACCGACAAGGTAAAATATAACCTAAGTTCTAATTGCTATTATCAGAAGAGGATATAAGTAGCGCTCGGGTCTGCTGAATATAAAGTGACAGTAATTATGGTATTACTTAGTTGAAAGCTTGAAGCTGAAACTTAAGAAAAAGAAAAAGCAGTATGGATAATTTTTTTTAAAGTTTTATTCCCTGTTTAGGGGTTCAGGGTGTATGTAGTGTACATCTTCCTTGTAAATATTAGTAATAATGTTAATTGGAAGCAATGAGAGGCCTTAAAATCCTTAAAAAAATTAAATAACTGCAGGTGTATTTTAATGTGTAGGGAACTAAGATTGTTGGAGTAAGTTTTATACATTACAGTCTTTTTTTTTTCAAAGTAAATCATACACCTTTTTTCAGTGGTTACAGGTCAGTTTTATAGTGATACATATGGAAATTATTATAAAATGTAATGTTTACTCTTGTCATTTCATAATTATTAGGGATGCACTGATATTGAAATTCTGGCTACTGATAATACTGATAAATGGCAGATAATAAAATTCAATACAGTATTTATACATCAATCATTTTAAAGGCAAAATATGTAATTTTCGCTGCTAGAGGTCGCTTATTCAAAACAAAAGCATAGCTTGATGATGCCTTGATTTCGCGGGATCACAGGAGTTGTTGTCTTCACCTCTACTGCCGATGGAAAAGAATCCGACGGGACTCGGGCAGAAATCATATTCATAGATGAGCTAATGTATTAAAGATTTATTGACA